GAAGCGCGGTGGTGCTCCTGCCGAGGGTTCGGATCCCACATACAGACCGGTTCCCGCTCACTGGCTGAGCGAGGTGTGGGTGCAGCACTGAGGGTTGCAATCCCGTTGCTGGTCCTGGTCCGGTACGGGCGCGACACTGAGGGTTGCGATCCATTGCCGAACACGAAAAAAGACAAAAAAAAAAGAGTTGGGGCCTTGGGGTAGAGGGGCCAGTGCAGCCCTTTTTCCCACCCCAGGTCTATCTCCAGCTCTCTCCCAGTGCTGCCCTGAGTCCCTTGCACTTTCCCCACCATTCCAGGTGACAGGCATCCCTCGGACCCGGCTCTCTGAGGGCAGCCTGAGCCAGGGCCCCTGTGAGTTCACCCTGGCCTCAGACCTCTGCAGCGACTGTGGAGATGCCCACCTGCAGCTGGTCCACACCTGCCGGCCCCAGACCTTGGTCCAAGGATGCCTGACTCACTCTGCCCCTGCTGAGCCACCTGGGCCTGCCGCCCAGCTCAGTTGGGGACCGGACATCAGCTGGGCCTGGAGCTGCAGGTGGGGGCCTGTGAGCTGCAGCTGGACCATGGGCTGCAGTGGCAGGTGCTGGCCCAGAGCTCCTGTGAGGGGGTGGTGTGCTGAGGGGTGGGGGGTGGGTGTAGAAACCAGGGTGTCTGGGGGGGGGCAAAAAAATCCTCTTTCAACCACTGGAAAAACAATTGAAATTGGGTAGACCCCAGAGGAACAGACCCATCAACTATTTATTGAGCGCTTACTGTGTGCTTTGGAGGTACAGCACTGAAAAAGAGAGAAATCCTGTTCTCAGGGAGCAGACACCCCGTTGAGGGGAGACAAGCGGCTCACAGGATCAGACAGTGATGGAGCTCAGGAGGCAGAAAGTAGAGAGGCAGGGTGGAGAGCGAAATTTTATATAAGTTGGTCAAGGTCAGCCTCAAAGACAGGATGATATTTGAGCCCAGACTGCAAGGAGATGAGGGAGGAGTGATGTGGATGGAAATCTGGGGAAAGAGTGTTCTATGCAGTGGGCACAGCCAGTGCCAAGGCCCTGAGGCAGGGTCAGAGCAGGAAGGGCATTCTCTAGGACCAGGCTCAGCAAACCATTTCTGTTAAAGTCCAGTTAATATCTTCAGCTCGGAGAGCCACACAGCCTCTGCTGCGACTACTCAACTTTGCCGTTTAGGATAGAAGCGCCATAGACCTTGATCTGTAAATGAATGGGCATGATAGTGTTCCAATAAAACTTTATTTATAAAACCAGGCTGTAGGCCAGATGTGGCCCTCGAGCCGTAGTTTGGAGGTCACTGTTATATAAAAAGTGCATGTCTGGGAGAAACAGTTGAATTCAGGATATGTTGTGGAGGCGGAAGTTTGGATATGAGTTTGAGAGGGGAAAGGGGGGGCCAGGCAGGGATGGTGCCTCTGCTTTTGGCAGAGCAGTGGGAGAGTGGGGTTTCCATCCCCTGTGAAGGGGATGATGGTGGGGGGAGGAGGACTGGGGGGGGGGGGGTTCCTGAGTCAGGGGGACATTTTGGAAGGGTTAAATTTGACAAGAGAGTTAGACAACCCTGGGGGGGGGGTTGGTGGGTGGCTCTGGCCGTCCGGCGGCCCACCATGGCCCGCACTGGATCTGCCGGCAGGGGCCCCAGGGGGGCGGGGAGCTGCGGGATGGCCCAGCCTGATGGAACGGGTCCTAC